GCCTGTTTGGTCCACGACCCTTGGTCTGATAAGCAGTGGGTGCCCAAGAGCATCCAATGCCCGGTCCTACCTCTAGCGCTTTATTGTCCCCCCTTCCAGCTTGTCAGAGTTCAGCAGTGGGAGTCCTGCAGAACTAGGATTGGTGAAGAAAGGTTTCTTGCACAGATCCACCCCTGCTTTGGCCCAAAGGGCTGAAAGTCAAACTGTTTTGCTTTGCATGGACCCCAGCGTAGGTGATCCTTGAGGGTGAATGATACGTAAGACAACACAGTTCCTCTTTGTTCTCACAACAAAGCACTTGGGGCTAAATGCTGCTGGAATATCACAATACACAATAATCAGAAATACTGTGATATTTACCGCATGTTGATGTACTCTTCCTGGGGACGTGATTTCTCCTCATGTGCGTGTAGCTGTTTTCAGGTGGATCAAGGAAACCCAACAAAGACCCAATTCCCAGGCCTTTGAGGTTTTACCTAACCATTTCCAGTGCCGTATTCATTGGTTTCACTCCTTGCCTTTGCAGTAGGGGCATTAAGTCTTTTGCTAACAAACTTTTAGTGTCTCTTTTGCCATCTGGGATTCAAGTGTTTTGCCAAGTGTGAGGCACGAGGCAGTCTGCAGTCTGATGGCATCATCGTGCATGGTTGGTTCTCATTCCAAATGTACCATTGCCTTGTCTGTAAGAGTCCTGTGTCATTGTGTTCCGCTTCTTTGTAAATCCAGTGTCCGATGAGGCCCCATGACTCTCTCCTGTCATCAGAGCCCAACAAAGTGTATTTTGAATCTTCCAAAGTGTCCCTCTTTCAGTGATGTTCATGCAACCCCTTCATCTCCATGAACGGTGAAGCAACTTCCATAGTTGGACATCTTTTTTTGGTGTCGGGATCTTCAGCGACAAAAACCTGGGATTTCCACCAGGCTGCTGGCTGTGCTGAAACTGATTCCAGGTTCAGGATCCTCTGTGTTCAGATCCGCCAGATCTGGTCCTGAGTAATCCAGTGATGATGCTGCAGGGGCTGATCTCTTAATGACCTGTACCTTAAACCTAAGCTTATCTATCCAAGCTCTTCTCTTCCTGCTTTGACCATGTTCCTACTGGATGCTCAAGCTTGGAGGACTCAAATTCCTCCATGTCATTTAAAAGGGACATCCCTCATTGGTGGGATTCTGTTCATGGACTTCACCTGGGTTGTTTCCTTTCTCTATGCTTTCATTCTCTTCCCTGTCCTGTCCCCGCTCCCACCCAGTCTGCCTCCAGCTCTTTTAGCCTTGGGGCTGTTACTGGTTGCACAGTAAGGGTCCCCATCTCAGCTGGGGATTTACAGGCGTGATTATAAATAACAGCTTTGTTAGAGTCTTGCTTGTCAGTGGGGCTCTCAGTTGTTACTCTTGTAAGCTCATCCATGTAGGGTTTTCAGGTTTTTTTTTCTTGGTCTTGAGCAGAAAAGACCATTTTCTTCAACTTTATCTTGCATTTATTTTTGGAAGTGCCCTTCTGCCCATCCCAGTGTAGATGAGATGTTTTTTGTTCTCTTCTTCCACTAATTTGTGCTCTGTAGGTAAGCCTTGCAGTTTATCTGCCTGAATGGTACATTGCCCCAGAAAGCTGTTATAGACTAACTTCCCTGGATTCTCTGGAATACACTTAGTCTCTCTGCAAGCAAACAGCTTCCCCATTTTTATCATGCTTAGAAATTTGGGAGGAAGATGAGGCCGATGCCTCCCTGGCTTAGATTTAAGAACGTATTGCAACATTCCCTGTCATACTCCTGGTTGTCTCTTCAGAGTGTTGAAGACTTACTCTTTTGTGTTGGAGTAATATTGGACTTTTATAATTTATCAGAAATACTGTTGGCTTTAAGATGGTTTGTACCTCGACTGAGATGATCCCTATGTGAAGGGGGCACAAGACCCCTCTATGTGGTCTGCTCTTTGCACTTTCAATTTGCATTCCTCCCATGACTTAGCTCCACGGTTGAATGCTTCAGCCTTAAGAATCTTGCTCGACTACTACAAAAGAGTTTTCTAACTTTGTTCAGTGCGGTTGAGTTATACCAAGGATGTTTTCCTCTGCCAGTCTTGGTAATTACTACAGCATATATGGTTTTTCATTTTTAAACAAGTCAAGTAACTGTGTTTTTATTTATTTAGTCATTGAAAAAGACAAAGTGTAGGCTTGCCAGCAGCAGCAGGTTTGTTTTCATGTGCCTGTGGGGAGGTGACTTGCTGGACAAGGTGTCATGTCCACAGAGTTCTGTTCTGAAAGTGGTGTTATTTTAGGCCTTGTTTGCTGTTGCTGAAATAAACAGTAATTTTGTCATTAGTTTCACTGCAAGCAAAAGTGAGTAATTTGAAAGCATAATATTTGTAGGGTATTAATTGTGTGCACAGGAATAGCTGTTAATATGGGTAGTTAGTGTTAGCTGTGTGTAAATGAGGACCCTCACGCATCTGATCCCAGTTTGGTAGAAAATCTTTGTTACTCTGTTATCAAGAATGCCTAAAATGTATTCAATATTTGGCATGACAGATAAAGTACCCCAAAACAAAGTTGATTGTTTTGGGGTTGTTTTTCTTATTTGAGTGAAAGCTGTTTTGATAAGAAATTAAAATAGGAAGTTTAACATAGTTTCAACAAAGAACATTATCAAAAGTACATATCTCTTTCTTCTCTTGTTTTTCTTTACAAAGGGGGGATAATGGCAGTAGTTTACCTACTTCTGGCATAAGGTTTTTAAAAAAAAAAAAAAAAAAGGCATTTCCGAAACCTACAAACCACTGGTGGAGAAGACACTTCCTCCCTTTGGGTGTAGAGCAGCCAGCTATAACGGGATAGCAAATAGTACACGCAGGATTCAGATGAAACAGGCAGAATATAAACACCAAGGTGAAATTTGTTGAGGGCTATCAGCTTCGTCTTGTGCAAAGGACAGCTAGTTTCAGAAGTGCTAAGCACTTGAAACATCTCAAAAGAAATATTAATTCTAACTTCCTGTTTCTTTTTGCTACCTCTTGCTTTCCTAGGAATCAACCCTTTTCACTGTGATGGAGATGTTCTCGCTGAATTCCCTTAAAGGTAAGGACCTGAGAAAATCTTCAATTCAACTCTTTTTTTTTTTTTTTCTTTGTTTAGAGATGTAATACTATAGCAGATTGATGAAGAAAATTAATTTGTAAGAAACAGTGCTATCCTCCTCTGTGCTGGATAAGTGAGAGGTTTGTCCTACAAATGTCTTTGTCAGACTTCCTTCTCAATGCATTAGGGACAAAAAAGGAAGTTGAGATGACTATGCCTGAACTAGTGATAGCTATGTAACATAGGATGCCAATTTTTATGTCTGAGACGCACTTTATTTCTGAGGAGAGCCTGGCATGCAAAACTTTGATTTTAAGTGTAAAGCGAGGGTGATGGTTGTAAGCAAGGTAACTCCATTCTGTCTTGGTTAGTGTAGCACCTGAGTTAAGTGTTGCAGGTAAGCTTGGTTACACTAAGTACAAGAGAGTATTTCAGGGAAACAACAGAATTTGGAAGGGGAGAAGACCTGTTGTGTTATCCAATAGATGACAATGTAGACTTGTTTGCTATTTAGCTTAAAGTAAAGGCTTTTTTTTTCCCCTTTTAATTTTACCCTCCTAAACATACCTGTATCCTTCTGTACCAATTCAGCAAGTGCTTTCTCCTTGGTGTTTGCATACTTTTAAGTATCTGTCAATTGTTACCATCTCCTTTTTTTTCACTGGCACTGCTTTGCCAACCTCTTTCTTTAGACCTTTTTTTTTCTTAAGAAATCCTTCCAGTCACTGGCTGGTTTTTGTTTTCTTTTGTTCTTTTCTGAACTCTGTTACTGGGTCTTAAAATAAGGTGCATAGAATGGAATAAGATATTCCAGATATGGCTGAACCAGTGATGGATTACTGCCTCCTGTCTCAGGGAAGTCATCCTTCTGCTTTAGCGCTTGGGGAACACAACAGTGTACCAGCCATTCTTGTAACGCTGCCATGCTAGTGAGTCACCAATATTGTCGATTCCGTATTTAAAACAAAAATTCCCAGAATGCTTTATATGTCCAGGGTGTTAATTACGTACGAACTAATTTTAGTTGGGAATAAAAACTCTCTCATCTGTCAAATAGTGTGACCTGGGTTGGAGTCTGAGAGAGGGAGAAGGAACTTCTCCTGTGAGGGCTAGTGGTTTGTCATGGCCAGACTGGGTTTGGGACACTGGGTGCTGTAACACTTGTGCTCCGGGGGAAAAGGAAGTCTTTAACATAATGTGGCTTGTTAATGAGCTTCTGCATAACGCTGCTGCCTCTGCAAAGGCTTGGCTAGAGAAGATTAATTAACCACAGCTCATCGAAGTGAGCCTGAACTGGCAAAGCCTGGGAAGATGGCTTTAAGCGATTATTTACATGCTGTTTAACACTCATCTCTGCAAAATAAAGGTATTTGGATTGAGTATGTGGAATCTGTGATTTCTGGAATTTTTTAATGAATTGAGTCTTAACTATTTTTTCTGTGCTCATAAGATAATTTTTACATCATTTACGGTGACAAACCACTAGCCCTACTCATGTCTAACTTTCTGTGCAACAGCACAGTGTCTTTCACCATCTTCTCCCAGACTTCTCCTTCCCAGTGACTCTGTGTTTCCAAGATTTCCCCCAGATATGTACTTTATTTATCTGTTTTCTTGTGTTTGTTTTGCTTTTAATCGTTGTGGTCTCCAGCCATGGATTTTCCTCTCCTTAGGGCT